AAGTAGCTGGGATTACAGGCACCCACTATCACACTTGACTGATTTTTGTACTTTTAGTAGATACGGGTTTTTGCCATGTTGGCCAGGCTGATCACAAACTCCTGACCTCCAGTGATTCACCTGCCTTGGCCTCTCAAAGTTATGGGATTACAGGCATGAGCCACCACGCCCAGCTTGGACAGTTTTTTTTTTTTTTTTTTTTTTTTTAATCTTTACAGTAACCCTTTGAACTGAGTAGACATGATTACTCTTCTCTTTTACAGACAAGGAAGCAAAACAGCTTAGAAATTCATCACTTTGCCCCAACATCTGCAATTAGAGCCAGGATTTGAACTTAGGTTTCTGATTACTGACTTTGTACTCTTTCTGTTGCCTTCTCAAAACTGGAAGGGTGAGATAGGGCAACACTGGCCATCTCCATGTCATCTAGATTAGTTAGATTAGGAATAATAATACAAAGGAAAAATTAAAATTTTCTCTATCTATCTTAGTCCTTTTACTATTTCTGTGGCTTTTAGTATACTCAGAAGTTCTGCAACCAGCACCATGGTCAATTTTAGACTGTTTTCATTATCCTAAAACTAAATCATTTAAGCCACTACTTCCTCCCATTTACCCATTCCTACCCCAGCTCTTGGCATGCACTGCTCTACTTTCTGTCTCTATAGATTTATCTCCTCTGGGCATTCCATACAACTTGTTCTCATATAATATATGGTTCTTTGTGACTGGCTTCTTTTACTTAGCATAATTTGGTTTTTTTTGAGACAAGGTCTCACTCTTATCACCCTGGCTGGAGTGCAGTGGCGCCATACTGGCTCACTGTAGCCTCAACCTCCTGGGCTCAAGCGATCCTTCCACCTCAGCCCCCTGAGTAGCTGGGACCACGGGCATGCACCACCATACCCAGCTAATTTTTGAAATTTTTGTAGAGATGTGGTTTTGCCATGTTGCCTAGGCTGGTCTGGAACCCCTGGGCTCAAGCAGTTTGCCCACCTTGACCTCCCAAAGTGTTGGAATTATAGGCACAAACCACCACACTCAGCCTACTAAACATAATTTTTAAAAAGTTCATCCATATTGTGGCATATGTCATTACTTTTTTTCTTTTTATTGCTGAATTTGATTCAGTTGAATGGATATAGCTTATTTGATTTATCCATTTATCATTTGATGGACATTTGGGTTGTTTCCACTTTTTGGCTATTATGAATAATGTGATACAAACATTCATGGACAAATTTTCGTGTGAGGAAATGTTTGCATTTCTCTTGGATGTGTATACCCTAGGAGTGAAGTTACTGAGTCATATTATAACATATATTAACATTCTGAGAAAGAGCCAGACTATTTTGCAAAACTGCTGTGTAGATTCCCACCAGCAGTATATGAAGGTTTCAGTTTCACAAATACCCTTGCCAACACTTACCTATTGGTCTTTAATTATGAAAATAATTAAAATTATATCTAATAGTTTTGATTTGTATTTTCATGATGGCTAATGATACTGAGTAATCCATTTTTCATTAGGTTATTTGTCTTTTTATTATTATTATTATTATTATTATTATTATCATTTTGGTAGAGTTGGTGCCTTGCTATGTTGCACACACTGGTGTTGAACTCCTGGTGTGAAGCAGTTGTTCTCCCACCTCAGCCTCCCAAAATGCTGAGATTATAGGTGTGAGCCACTTGCACATGGCCTTGTCCTTATATTACTGAGCTGTAAGAGAGTGCTTATGTATTCTAGATACACATCAGTTGTCTTAACACCTTTTTTTTTTTTTTTCAAATTTGTAAATAGAGATTGAGTCTTGCTATATTACCCAGGCCTTTCTTGAGTTCCTGGCCTCAAGGGATTCTCTTGCCTTGGCCTCCCAGAGTTCTGGGATTTTAGGTGTTAATCACCATGAGTGGCTGTCTTTTCCTTTTCTTGATGGTGTCTTTTGAAGCATAAAAGTTTTTATTTTGATGGCGTATAGTTTGTCTATTTTTTGTTAATGTGAGGAAGAGATCCAGATTTCTTTTGCATATGGCTATCCGTTTGTTTCAGCACCATTGTTGAAGAGTACTTTCCCCAAGGAGTGGTCTTAGAGTCTTCTTGAAAATCAGTTGATTGTAGATATGTGTGTTTGTTTCTGGACTCTAAATTCTGTTCTATTGATCTTTCTTTTCTTATTCTAGTACAACATGGTCTTGAATACTGATTCTTTGTAGTAAGTTTTGCAATCTGGAAATGTGAGTTCTCCAACTTTGTTCTTTTTCAAGGTTGTTTTGGCAAATCTGAGTCCCTTGAAATTCATATAAATTTTCAGATCAGCTTGTCAGATTTCTGTAAAGAAGTCAGCTACATTTTTGATAGAGATTGTTTTGACTCTCTACATCAATTTGGGGAGAATTGCCATTTTAACAATATTAAACCTTCTGATTCCTGAACATTGGACATCCATTTCCAGTTTCTTAAACAACCAACTTTGGCGGTCCAGCTCTTCTAGAAAATGTACGTTCATGTTAGGTGTGCTGTATTTTGCAAGTTAGCATTAGTCAAATTGAAGGTCTCAGCAAAGTGCTGAGGTTTAACTGTTACTCTTACTTAAAGATTAATTTTATAAAAGATACCTGGAAATTACTATGCAAAGAAAATAATGTGAGTAATACATGCTTTATACTTTTCATGCATAAAAAATGGCATGGTCTGTTTTATGGTTTGTTTGTAAACTCATTTTTTTGTTTGTTTGTTTTGTTTTGTTTGAGATGGCGTCTCACTGTATTTCCAGGCTGGAGTGCAGTAGGTGCAATCTTGGCTCACTGTAACCTCTGCCTCCTGAGTTCAAGCAATTCTTCTACCTCAGCCTCCTGAGTAGCTGGGACTACAGGTGTGTGCCACTGCGCCCAGCTAATTTTGTATTTTTAATAGAATGGTGTTTGACCATGTTGGCCAGGATGGTCTCACTCTCCTGACCTTGTGATCCACCCACTTGGGCCTCCCAAAGTGCTGGGATTACAGGCGTGAGCCACTGTGCCCAGCCCCACTCACTTTTATCTTGACATAGGAGGGAGATTGTGTCAGACAGACTTAGAGGTCTGTTGCCTTGCAATGGTGATGCATATCAGAAGACTGACTTCAGTGGCAGTTTTTGAGATCCTCTTGTACCTGTGTTTCTATGCCATACGTAGCCCTTCTCAGGCTTGTTATGGCATGTACCAATGATGTAATAATGATGATTATATCAGAAGCACCATAGGCGGCTGTTGGTGTGATAGGTGGCTATGGTCAGTTTGGCTATTTATTCCAAGAGACCCCATGGATTTTGCCATCTGTAACAGAAGACTTTAGTGTATTAGTGATGAAAAAACTGCTTACCACTGACTGTTGTGATCTCCCAGGGAGTATAAGGCAGCTCCGCAGTAAGTGCCTCTTGTCTTGTGTAATGTGCTTGAATACAAACATTTAGACTGTTTGTTGGGCACAGTAGTGCTCCATCTTGTGCCAGCCTCATCAAAGGCTTGGCATAGAGTAGGTGGTGTCTGATATTTATACACTCACATCACCCACTCTATTTTCCGTTTTTTTTGGTTATTATTAATGATTACTCACTTACTATAAAACTACACTTTATAAACAGATTATTCTTTTAGCTAATTTTCTTGTATGTGTTGCTCCTTCCCAGTTTTTGTTCCTTTTGTTGTTCATTGATTTGAGAATTGTGTGAAGGAAGCCATTTTGTGAGTCCTGGTGCTCCTCTGCTTGCTTAGGTGCACTGCCAAGAGTGCACCTTGTTAGTGTACCTTCCAAACACCTACCTTTGGTCCAGAGTAGAGTTTTGGGAGAAGTAGAGTGACTGCTTATCAAATGTGACCTTGGGATTGTCAGGCCCTGTTGTTTACCCTCCCTTTTCCTACTGCCTCCCCTGTCCCCACCCACCACCCCAGCACATGGTTACCAAATGAAAACCTCCAAATTCCAGATTCATTCTTTTGGTTGAAGACTTCCATTCTCTGTTAAAATTTGAACAACATGAAACATTACTACATTAAACCTTCTGGACAATTTATGTTTAATTGATTTTGTATACAGAGTTGGACAGATCTCAGTGAGGACAGAGAACAACACACAATTCAGTTATTAGACATTTTAAAGGATGTGTAAGAGAAGACCAGAAAAAAGGCAGGGGTACGTTGAATCACTGAAGACAGCTTATGCAGACACTGTTATTTTACCTAAGTGCAGCCTTTCCCATGGTTTGTAGGCATGTCATGGTGACCCTTCATATTCCCTAGGAAACCCTTTATAGCACTGTTTGGGAAACTGTAGTCTTGTGGGCTAAATCTAGCCTGCTGCCTATTTTTGTAAATAAAGTTTTATTGGAACATAACTACTCTCATTCATTTACACACTCTCTCTGGGTGCTTCCTTCCATGCTACACAGTGGCAGAGTTAATTAGCTGGAACAGACCTGGATTACAGTGCCTAAAATATGTATCTTACCCTTGACAGGAAAAGTTCACCAACAGCTAGTATACAGTCTATACTTTTGGAAGGTTAAGTATGGATCCATAGATATCTTGAATTTAATTTGGACTTCTCACCTCTGATTTCACCATTATGTGGACTCACAGGCAGTGGTTTTAAGGAAAGGTCACTGCTTATTTCAGGATGAGTGCTTGATCATGATAAGAAAAAAAGTTTAACTTCAAAAACATTCTTAAAATAAATGGTGGCACTGCTTTGTTTTAAACCTAAGTAGCCAATGGAAAATTAATATCAGCTTATGCATGTACACGATCCTCCTGCCTCTTTCAGGTACTCCCATCTTATGAGAAATCTTAGAATTTTTCTCCTGGACATTTATCTTCTCTTGTTTTTGAAGACCAAACATTCATGTCATCATAACTTATTAAAATAGAAATATGAATATAAATATAAAATGTTAAACTTACTCTTGGAAATTTAAGTGTTTTAGCTGAGTTATGTTTCTTCTCTCTTCATTTTCTCTCAGCCTGAAATCCATGGCCCAAAATGACTCTGTCAGTGGAGACTCTCCTCTGTGAAGAAGACGACCAGAGAGGAGGTTGGGATGAGCATGCCACTGCATCAGATCTCTGCCATTCCATCCCAGGATGCCACCTCTGCTAGATTCTACAGAAGTAAGACCAAAGAAAAGGAGAGGGAGGAACAGGTACTGGGAGAATATCTTTTTTAGTTTCATTATTTTCATTAAATTTTCATTAAAGATGATCTAGAACAATGGTTAAACTCTAAAGATCAAGGTTCTCTCTGATAATATACTGACAAGCACACAAATAGTTGTACTCAGAAGGAATTCTTTTGGTAGATTTCTAGGTTTTCAGATTTTGGTGTAAACTACTGTGCTTATAAGTGGTTATAAATGTCTTTACTTCATCGGTTAAATCTGCCTGATTATTTTTGGTTAATCACTGTGACTAAGTTCTTTGGAATCTCAGAACATGATGCTGCTAGTTCCCTATTTATTGTAGTGTCGAATTTGGGCACCAGATGGCTGGAATTTTTAAATATGTGTCTTAGTCTGCCCTAGCTGCTGTAACAAAATGCCATAGCCTGGGTGGTTTAAATAACAAGCATTTATTTCTCACAGTTCTGGAGGCTGGAAGTCTGAGATCAGGGTGCCAGCATGGTTGGATTCTGGTGAGGGCTCACTTCCTGACTTACAAACAACTGCTTTCTTGTTGTGTCCTCACGTGGCACGGAGAGAGGAAGAAAGCACCTTGTCATGTGGCTGTTCATATAGGAGAACTGATCCCATTGAGAGGTTTCCACCCCTAGGACCTAATTGTCTTCCCAAGGCCGCATCTCCAAATGCCATTATATTACCGATTAGAGTTCCAGCATAAAAGTTTTTTGGGAAACATAAACATCTAGTCCAGTGCCGTGTGTATATGAGGAAGCTATACAAACTCTTTTGGAATAGAGAAAGGAAAATGTACAACAGGTAGGCCAGGAAGGACGATTCTTTCTGATATACACTCTCACTGCAGGTTTACTGTAGGTGGATATTTAACAAAGCCTTATTGAATCTATTTAACGGGATTTTTAAGGTCTAAACGGCATTTATCAATTATAGAATTGGGATTTTGATTGGTATTGGAAAGAAAGAGAAACTATTCTGTCTCACCTTAGTGTGGGGATACTTTGAGTATCCAGTGGCAGCCTGACAGTTCAGAGTGTCATGGAGCCCAGAATAGGTGACAGAGTGGAAGAGCAGTTGAACCAGGAACTTGTGGGGCCCCATGAGAGCTTCAGCAGCAATGGCACAGGATGAAAATGGTGATTATGTTTCTAGGGTCTCAAATGTGGCATCAGGATTGATATGAAAGGTAAATTTTTGTCCAGTGGAGCCCATTTTTATTTATGCAGTTTTCCTGGCACAGGTTCAACCCAAAATCTTTTACTATGATTTCTGATCCTCCTGTGCTTGGAAGATATTATTCTTCTGAATTCCAGGAGAAGAGCAAACCCTTTTATTTTACCTAGACTCAAATCCGTTTGTTACCTTAGTCTAATCTGTTAACACACCCTCACTGAAGCCCATGTCTGTAATCTTCTACAGAGGGTTAATGACTTTTATACAGTAGTCAGTGCAGTTAATGAATATGAATATGAATGAATATGAATTCAGTTTCAGTGATATGGGGTCATGTTGCTGTCAAGATGATTTATTATATTTCAAATACCAATATGAGAAACTTACAATAGTATACTTTCATTTCTTTCCTTCTGGCTTGTTTTATTGTCTTTTAATAAATTTTAAACTCCAGAATATAGTATTTAAAAAAATACTTTAAATACTTTTCTTTTAAATAATAATCAAGATCTGTGTACTCAGGTAGTTACCATTTCTGGTGTATTTCCATCTATCATCTTTTTTTTTTTTTTTTGGTCTAAAAGACTTCCTTTAGCATTTCTTATAATGTGAGTTGGCTGACAGTGACTTCTTTCAGCTTTATTTAGAAAATATTTTTTATTTATTTCTTGTATTTTGAAATTGTGCTTTGTTGATCAGTGGGTTTACAGTTTTTGTAGAATTTGGAGTTTTTTGGCTATTCTTCAGATAATTTTTCTGTCCCCCCATTCTTTCTTTGGGGACTCCTTTATACACATTGACTGGCTTAAAGTTATCCACTGCTGCACTTTTAATTTTTAAGGTTATTTTTTTCTTTCTGCATTTTATTTTGGATATTCCAATTACTTTGTTTGTAAGTTTGTTAACATTTTCTTTTTCAATTTCTAATCTGCCAGTAATTCCATCTAGTGTATTTTTTTTTTAATCTCAGATATGTTTTTATTGCTGGACATTTGGTTTGGTTTTTATATCTCCCATGTCCCTATTCAACTTTCCGACTCTATGAAATACAATAATGACAGTCTTAATGCCCTTTTCTGTCATTCCTACCATGTATGACTATTCTGAGTTTGCTTTTTTCCCTCACTTGATATCTTCAGTTTTATTTTTATTTTTGTTACTATTTTTTATTTATTTTTGATTACAGATCTTGCTCTGTCACCCAAGCTAGCGTGCAGTGGCGTGATCAGAGCACACCACGGCCACAAACTCCTGGGCTGAAATGATCCTCCTGCATCAACCTCCTGAGTAGCTAGGAGTATAGACCACACCTGGATAAGTTTTTCTTTCTTTTTATAGAGTCAGGGTCTTGGTATTTTCCAGGCTGGTCTCAAAACTCCTGGGTTCAAGCATTCCTCCCACCTTGGCCTCCCAAATTGCTGGGACTGCAAGTGTGAGCCACTGTACCTAGCCTGGTTTCATTTTTATAAAAGTTTATTTTAGGCTGGGCGTGGTGTCTCGTGACTGTAATCCCAGCATTTTGGGAGGCCAAGGTGGGCGGGTCACCTGAGGTCAGGAGTTTGAGACAAGCCTGGCCAACATGGAGAAACCCCACCTCCACTAAAAATACAAAATTAGCTGGGCATGGTGTGCATGCCTGTAATCCATCCCAGCTACTGGGGAGGCTGAGGCAGGAGAATCACTTGAACCTGGGAGGTGGAAGTTGCAGTGAGCCAAGACTGTGCCATTGCATTCCAGCCTGGGCAACAAGAGCAAAACTCTGTCTCAAAAAAAAAAAAAAAAAAGAGTTTATTTTAGTCTAGTTTTAGATTTACAAAAGAATTGTTAAGCTAGGATGGAGTATTTTCATATACCAGTTACCCAGTTTCTTGTATTGTTGTTACTTATAGATTTAGTACAAGTGCAGTGTTAAACACAGGTATATTGCATAGTGGTAAATACCACCTGAATAGTGTCCATAAGCACCCATGAGTAGTTTCTCCTCCCTTACCCACTCCCGTCCTCCCACCTTTCTGAGTCTCTAGAGTCTATTATTCCACTCTATATGCCCCTGTGTACATATTTTTCAGCCCCCAAATGTAAGTGTGAATACTCGATATTTGACTTGCTCTGAGTTATTTCCCATAAGATAGTTACCTCCAGTTCTATCCATGTTGCTGCAAAAAACATGAATTCATTCTTTTTTTAATAGCTGAGTAGTATTACATGGTGTGAATTACTTTATCTAGTCATCCGTTGATGGGCACTTAGATTGATTTTATATCTTTGCTGTTGTGAGTAGTCCTCCAGTAAATATTTGAGGGCAGGTGTCTTTTCGATATAATGATTTCCTTCCCTTTGGATAGATCCTCAGTAGTGGGATCACTGGATCAAATGGTATTTGTTAGTTCTTTGAGAAGTCTCTATACGTTTTCCATAGAAGCCGTACTATTTTTACACTCCCAACAACAGTGTATGAGCATTCCCTTTTATCTGCATCCTTGCTAACATCTGTTATTAAGGTTTTTGACACTTTAATAATAGCCATTTTGACTGGTGTGAAATGGTATCTCATTGCTTTAATTTGCATTTCCCTGGTGATTAGTGAAGTTGAACTTTTTAAATGTTTTTTGGCCATTTGTATGTCATCTTTTGCAAAATGTATGTTCGTGTCCTTTGCCCGTTTTTTAATAGGGTTATTTTTTTCTTATTAAGAGTTGGGTTCCTTGTAGAATCTACAAATTAGTCTTTTGTAAGATGCATAGTTTGCAATTATTTTCTCCTGTTCTGTAGATTGTCTGTTTTCTCTGCTGATTATTTGTTTGCTGTGTAGAAGCTTTTTATTTTAATTCTCATTTGTCTATTTTCATTTTTCTTGTTTTTCCTTTTGAGGTTCTAGACACGTCAAAAAGAAAGAGTTTTTCCTAGAGTTTCTTCTAGAATCTTTATGGTTCAGGACTTACATTTAAGTCTTCAACCATCTTGAGATGATTTTTGTATGTGGTGAGAGATATGGGTCCAGTGTCATTCTTCTGTGTATGGTTATCCAGATCTCCCAAGTACCATGTATAGAATAGGGTGTTTTTCCCCTAGTGTATGTCTTTGTTGACTTTGTTGAAGATCATTTGGCTCTAGGCATGTGTCTTTAATTTTGAGCTCTGTAGTCTATTTCATTGATCTGTGTTTCTGTTTTTACAGCAGTTTAGGTTATTATAGCCTTGTAGTACAATTTGAAGTCAAGTAATGTGATGTCTCAAGAGTTCTTTTTGCTTACCATTGCTTTGGCCATTCAGGCTCTTTTTTGATTCCATATGTATTTTAGGATTGTTTTTTCTAATTTCATGAAAAACGATGTTAGTATTTTTATACGAATTGCATTGAATCTGCAGATTTCTTTTGGGGATAGTATGGTCATTTTAATGATGCTGATTCTTTAATCCATGATCATGGGATGTTTTTCCATTTGTTTGTCATCTATGTTTCTTTCATCAGTATTTTGTAGTTTTTCTTATAGAGATCTTTCACATCCTTGGTTGAGTATATTCCTAGGTTGGTTTTTTTTTTTTTTTTGGTAGCTGTTGTAAATGGGATTCACTTCTTGGTTTAGTTCTTAGTTTGATTATTATTATTGTATAGAAATGCTACTGATTCCTCCTCTGAACAAAAAAAATGCAAAAATTAGTTGGGTCTGGTAGCACTGTAGTCCCAGCAACTTGGGATGTTGAGGTGGGAGGATCACTGGAGCCCAAGAGGTTGAGGATATAGTGAGCTGTGACCATGCCAGTGCACTCCAGCCTGGGTGACAGAGTGAGACCCTGTTTCAAAAGCAGACAAAAAAACCCCAACTAAACAAGAGA